CCCCCCCCAAACTGCTCTGCAAGATGCAAGACCCTTGCTGCAAACCCTGGCAGCCACCAGGCTGGGGATCGTGAGCAGCTGGGGGGGACCTATCCAGGCAATAGCTCACCGGGATGCCCTGGAGCTGCGGCTTGTCAAGCAGGTTGTGCAGTTCATTCTTGGAGGCCTCTATCTTCTCCTGGTCGGCGGCATCCACCATGTACCTGCAAGGGAAGGGACATCCCTGAGCACAGTGGCTGAGATCCCCATGCCCCAGTGCTGTGCCGAGGTCCATGCCACCACCAAACTTTGCTCACATGGCAGCTGCACCAGCCCCACTGGCTCCTGGGCCAGTGCATGGAGATGATGGATGATGGGATCCTTCCCCCAAGACCCCTCTTCCCAATGAGGGCTGTGGGTTGAGAGCCCCTCACGTCTCTCAGGGAAGCGGAGACTTCCCTGTCCCCATCCTTGCCAGGGTCCAGCCCATTAACAGCAGGGACACAGCCGGCGAGGGAAGCCCAGGCACTGCCCAAGCAGAAGAAGCTGCAAGACACACGTTGTCCCCAAGCGCCCAAGCGATGCTCATCTGCATGTGGCAGCTTCTATGGAGAAACCCAGAATAGAGGACAACAAGTGGAGAAGACAAGAGGAGGTGATCATGGAGAAGAGGATAAGACATTGACCCAAGATGGGGAAGGACCTGCTCGTCCTCTCAACGGGAGCAGTCTCAGGTGTGGAGAAAAGGGCATGTGAAGCCAGCAGTCAGCAATGCTTGCTCTGAGCAGACAAGGGAGATTTAGGGAAGAATTTAGCTCTTACAGGAGGACACCCATGCTGCAAAGGACATAAGTGAAGCCAAACCTGGGGAGAGGAACCAATCAAAGCAGCCTTTATTTTAAAGATCAAGAAGCTGGGAGAGAAGAAGTGAGAAACACCATCAAGCTTCATCAGACCTCATGGGGTTATTAAAAATAGGAAAAAAGCCTTTAGCTACTGAAGTGCTGAACGCAGGAAAATGTGTATGGTTGTACCGAGGAGAGAGAAAAACACCACCTGGGCACTGCCTCGAGCCTTCAGCATGCCGGATGGAGCAGGAGGGCTGAAGGCAAGAGAAAAGGGACATGATGCAGCTCAAAGTGAGAAAGGCAGACGGGAGCATGACCTGGATGGCCAAAGGTCCTTTCGTTTCCTCTCAACCAGACAGGCCACTTTGGAAAAATTAAGCTCACTGTAATAACAAGTGCAAGGACATGTCTCGACATGGTGACAATCAGCAAGGGCAGGACCAGACACCACTGTCCCAACAAGCAGGACAAGCAGTCCCTTACTCCTCCTCACCTGCCAGACCTACAGTTGGGAAGGGCAGTACAGAAACCCAGCCCTCCAAAATCCCAGGGCATGGTTAATTGGTGAAGATCACGTAAATCCAATTCTCTGATTGCGTTTAAGTAACCAGAGTGTGGTCTCCCTGCTTCTCATGAGCATCTTGCCAGGCTCATCCCCAGCCCAGACTCCCTGGGACTGAACTTACTGCAACATTTGCAAGCAGGGGACACGCAGGGACCCTCAGAGACTTGCTGACAATCAGCAGCGGATGTTGCACAGAGACTCCTTCCTTCAGAAGATTCATCCGGCAGCACATAAACACCACGACCTGCAAACACGCTGCTGGCAGCCACCCTTAAAACTAGCCTCTTGGAAAGGGCTTAGCCACGCTGATGGCATTTGCTCAGTCCCCGCAATCAACAGGCAGCACAGGGAAAGCACGGGAGCCAGGAAGGGCGAGATCCGAGGAACAGAGCCAGGCACCACAGCTCCCCTGGCTCTGCCCTGCCCAGCACCCTTGGGTGGGGTGATGGCACCATGCCCCTACCCACTGGTAGGGCTCAGCATCAGCACGTGGGTGACGGGGCTCTCGGCTCCCAGGGATACTCACACAATGGCACTCACTCCGCGGCAGTACCGCTCCCACATGCTGCGAAACCGTGGCTGGCCACCGATGTCCCAAAGCTGTGACAAGGAGAAGGCAGCGTTATCCCACCGTCCTGCCTGTTATCTCACTGTCCTGCCCATAACACTTCCCGACATGGCCACCCAGCCAGAGCACCGGGCATGCACCAAACCCAGCCCCATCCCCGCCTCTTCAGCTCACACCTAATGAGGAGGCTCCGGACTCGATAAAGAAAGGAGACATCTCAAGAAGGGGAGCTGGACGGTGTTGAACACCTCCTGCAATGGGCTTCTGCTGGCACGGAGGGACCCCCTGGCCCAAGCTGGGGCACTCCTCCCCATGCCCACCGCACCTCCTGGCCTTTCACTGATGTATTTGCCATTTCAAAACACTCAGCACGCTCTCAGAAACATTTCTGCAGCAGGCAGAGATCCCAATTAGCTTTTCAAGCCCGTCCCACCATTATTTTCCAGTCCAACCTGGGGGCTTGAAAGATTCAGAAGGGGTAGGAAACCCCTCTCCCTTCGCTCTCAAGGCAGAGACCATCACTGCAAGCCATGACCTGTTTTCCCCAGCACTTCCACCCTCAGCAAGGTGACCACATCCATGAGTACCTACCAGCAAGCCAGAGGTATAAGAAAACCTCCAGCTTTGCAGCCCGGACTGGCTCTTACTGCAGAGATCTGGATCTCCTACATCCCTTCCCACCATCTCCTCTGGTGAGTACCTGCAGGAGCCTAACAGGGCAGATCTTCCCAACTACAGCTGGGGTTGCTGGCATCCTTCAACCTGCAGCAGAAGACCCACCAATCTCCCAGCTCCATCTTTCACCCCAAGAGCTCCCACTGGCAACAACATCTGCACCTTACCTTTATGGTAACGTTCCCCTTGGTGATCTTCCTCATGTTAAAGCCCACTGTCGGGATCATGTCTTCGTTGAACTGTCCTGACTGTATGGAACAAGATGAAACAGCATTAGGAGGCATGGAAACCCCACCAGCCTGCCTTGAGCAGGGCAGCAAGGCTGACAGCCTGCCTAGAAATAACCCCAAATGCTCTACCAGCCCTGCAGCAGGCACAGCACGACCCTCCTCCTGGTCCATACCAGGAGCAAAATTAGAGCCAAGGAGACAAAATACCTGCAGGACAGAAATGCTGGCACCGTTGCATGGGGTGCAGGGTGCCCAGGGTGCCCCGGTGAAGCCCCAGTCCTGCAGCAAGCTGTCGTCCCAAGCCCCAAACACGCTGCCATGTCGGTGGGGTGGTGGAGGCTCACCCAACCCAGCCCTTTCCAGGTAGGATTCCCAAGCCCTTCATGGGAGGAGGTCAAGACCTTTGCCCACTGTAGCGATCTCAGGTCGGCCGTGCCGGGCCCAAACGTCTCCTGCAAAACCCACTGGCAGCCCCACAAGGACCCGCATGGGGTGCAGGCAGCCAGAGGGGTTCGGCTGTGAGTCCTGGAGGCTCTGGTACATCTTCCGCTTCGGATCATTTACAGTCCAGCCCAAACCAGACTGACTTTCCTGCAAATCTGCCGCCTGCCTGCATGGGTCCTCCAGCCCCTGCACCCTGCCCGAGCATGAGAGCCAGGTGCTTGTGCTGGGTGATGTGGGGGGACACAAAGGGTCCACTCTCCCCCACCCCAGGAGCTGCCGACACATTTTCTCCAGCAGCGCAGCTCCGAGCTGTGTCAGGCAGGAGAAGCATGAAATTGCAAGGGATTTGCAGCATCCCAGTGACGCTGAGAAACTAGGTTAGTCTGGTGGGAGCGGTGAGCAGGAACTGTCCCTCTGCCGCCGCAGCCAGATGCCGGCTCGCCAGCCCACATGCCCGGCACCACACCGGAGGGACAGGACAGCATTGGTCTGTCAAATCTCACCCCACCTTCCAGTTTGCTGCTCAAATCCCAGTGCTGCAAGACGGTCCTGGGCTGAGCAGCACAAGGGGATGTTCTGAGCGGTCCCAGCAGCAATGTGGCATCCCTGGGGCCGGAGGCAGGAGCTGTCACAGCCCTTCACCCTCTGCCTCTAGCAGCCCCCTGCCTGGCAGGCAGCCTCACTGGGACTCAAACCACATTTATCTTCTCTGCTTTTTAAATGCATCCTTGTGGAAGGCCCTGCTGCAACATGTCGGGGAAGCCGATGGGGAAGAGGGTTTGATAACCAGGGTAACACAGCACTGGGGCTTTTGGCCGGCGGTGCCAGAAACCTGCAGAAACCATCAACCACAGCCAAACTCATCCCAGCAGCTCTTTACTGGCTTTAAATCTCAGTTTCTCTAGGACTTTTCTGGGTTTTCTTTCAGTTAACTCAAACCTCAAAAAGGGAAGGCAATTTATGCCATTTTCTGATAAGCACAATTTTGTGCCTGATTAAGCCAACAGCTCCTCCAGATCCACCACATCAGCGAGTCCCCAGGCTTTTCCTGACCTCTTCCAATGGTTCTGCAATACATGCCACTTCCCTTTTTCATTTCCCTTTTACGTTAATCAGCAAAGCCCAGCAGACAAAAGGTCTCTGAGCCATGGTGCACCCAGAAACCACACCAGGGAGTGGAGGGGAAGGGTACGGAGAGAGAAGAGGGGAAGCAGGCAGGAATTCCTCTACCACTGGTTGACATGGGGGATGTCTCCTGCGGGCTGAGGTTCAACACACCATTTGGTTTTATGGATCAGGTTTTAAGGAATTACCAGTTTTTGATCGGAAGCCCTGAAGAGCAATTGCTGAAGAGCTCTCGGAAGCCACAGGTACCTCCATCAGGGATCCCAGACCACATCACAGGAACTGCTGGCTGTGTGAAAGCCACCTGAGACACGGTTCATGTCTGATGGTAGCTCTTCTTCCAGGAAGAAAGAGGCTGCAGGAGCCAGGAGTCACCTCTGTTTTCCCCAGCGAGAGATGGCAGCGAGCACATCTCTGCGAGCAAAGCACGGCCTTGCTCCGTACCCCAAATCCTCCCCCCACCACAGCACCTGCCTCCAGGCTGCCCATGGTCAAGGGGCCAACACAAAACCACTCGTGCTGTGCCAAAAAGACCAGGCTGTGAACGCAATACACTGTGGTCCAGGATGGCTTGCACATGGTCCCTGATGTCCTGGCACCCATGGCAGCCTCTTCAGTGCGCTGCAACATGCTCAGCTCCTTCTGCATTGGCTGCTCTCTGAAAGCAAGTTTGAACAGTGGAAACACGATGTCCCCTCTTCCTTCTCCAACTGTCTTAGATGCTGATGCCTCCGGCACATCTTCAACTACCTGCAGGGTCCAGCTGTCCTGCCAGGGAGAGTGGAGATCAGCCCAGGTGCACACATGCAAAAGCTTCTCTGGACACATCTTTCCCCCAAATTCTGGTTATGCAATGGGTGTAGCATCTGTGCTGACCCTGGAGATCATGCCCAGCCGCACTGATCACTTGGAAATGGGATTCCTGCAGGAGGCATAAAAGTCCCTGCAGGCAAGATGGATTTTGTGGTTACAATGGGTGGATCAGGTCTTTGCAGGCTCTAGTTCATCACTGGTTTTGCCAGGGTCCCCTCAGCAACCTGGCCAAAGCACCCTGCCTCGTTGCCCTGGCTGGAAGACAAATGACCTTTCCGCTCAGCCCCATCACTTTCCAGTTGGGTTACTGGGAGAGGCGGCTAGGATTCAGCGTTGGCAGGGGTGAGAGGTGCCCCCAGCTCACTCTGAGCCCCATCCTCTGCCACATGCACATGGACACCACGCCACTGGCCACTTCAGCCATTGTCCCCTGCTCAGCCAGCATGGCTCAGCTCACCGGCACACACAAAGAAACAACCTCAGCCTCCATGCCACATCCACCAGCTCTGGCAAGCAGCATGCAGAGCCGAGGTGGCCAGGTCCTGCTCCTCACTATGGCCAGGCAGTTGTCACCCTGGATGACACTGCTTTGATGCAGCCTGCTCTCAATAAATCACTGCTGGCTGTTTTGCAACCCCATATCCCCAGGTGCTCACAAACGAGCCATTCCTTGGGGACTGGAGATGGTAGCGCCAAAAGCCCAGCTCCTGGTCATCTAAAGTCATGTCTCCACCAGAACATGGTCATCCATAGGGTAGAGACAGATGCCCAACGTGCCCCAGGTTGGATGGCTCCGACCAGTGCCTGGACCACCCCCAAAACCACTCAGCCTCGTGCTCCTGCAGGCATCTCCCACCGCGTGAAGCAGCTGAGTCCCTGCCGAACCCAGTCCAAGCTCCAACCAGGAGAGAAACGCGGGGGGTTTTAATTTCTCACCTGTAACCTCCCCGACCGGCTGTGTGCACAGCGCAGGGCGGGAGCACCTAGCAGCCGGGCGCTTCGCTTGCAAAGCCACTGCTCTTCTAGGAGCTCTTCTCTGAAAGTCAAAAAAGACCAGCCCCGCTGCATGGGCTCGTTCCAGCCCCCCAGCATGTCTTACATCATCAAGCCAAGCCATGACAGCCCCACAGATGGACGCTTGACTCCGAGTACCCCAGTCGGATGGGAAAAAGCCAAGTTCAAGCCAAGTCTTTACAGCGTTTCCCTTTCACAGTGGGTCTTACAGCTCTTTGGAGCTCTGAGCATCGCAGGGTACCTACGGCATGGAGCCCCGTGTCCCCCTTGCAGAAGGCACCAGAGGGAACAGGGCTGTCCCAGAGCACAGCACAGCCCTCCCGAGGAGCCCAGAGACCTGGGAAGGAGGACTGCCACCTGGAGCCGGGTGGGATGGAGCTACCCCAGGGCTGGCAGCAAGGAGGAAGAGCCACAAAGGTCCAAGAGTAAGACAATACTGACTTTTGCCCCAAATCCTCAGCATGCTTTGGTTTCAAAACCTCTGTGCAGAGGGATTGTGCTGAAGGGACCCGTGTTGGCCAGACCCCACCATCGCGGGGAGACCAGCAGCCTAAGCTGGGCAAACACGATGCTGCAGGACAGGGATGGGCACCCCAGTCCCCCTCCACCCCCAAAGCACACGGTCTCACCACCACCACCTGCGACTAACATACACGGTCTGGCTCTGCAGCACCCCTCAGCTTGGAAATTCAACATCACAGGCTTTCAGCATGGTGGAAAGCCCACAGGCTGCTCCTGGCCACGCTTCTGGTGGTGCTACAACAGCTGAAACAGGCGGTGCTGCCCGCCCTGACCACATGGGCCCTATCTCCAGGGCACTCTGTATCTCGAGAGAAAAAAGAGGATCCGGGGACAAGCCTGCGGACAGCAGCCAGGCCATATGCTGGCTCACCCTGGAACCCAGGTGATGCCAGCATGACCGACACTGCCAGTAAGCCCACAGGAGCCAGGCAAGACGATGCTCTCCAGGACAGATTCACCCCCCTCTCTGCAACGCAGCTAATGGCTTGGGATCTTTTCAGAGCATGGTATCACTGAAGCTCAGTTTCTTTCATAAAAAAGAGGTTTCTCAGATGAAAGAGAAAATCCGTGTGCTGCTTTTGCTTCTTCAGCACTGTACCACAGCCCGAAACACCCTGGACAGTGGTGCTGTGGCTGCATTGACCCAACACGCGGTTTGAGGCAGAGACGCACAGACAGATACGAGATGCTCCCAGCAGCTCCCCAGGGACACGCAGCGCAGCTCTCGACTCCAAAATGGAGAAGGCATCTCATACAAGAGCTGCGGCAATGTTTGCTCCCACCTCCATCCAGACAGACCCCACGACTCCCTACAAATTTATTAGTGGTTGCTCTCATTCAGGATGTGTCCATAATGAGGTAGCATCTGGATGGAGGGACAGAAGTGGTGGCCACACGAAGTGCTGGTGGCTCTAGATTGACCGCTTGCTGCTGGCCCAGGCTTTGGTGTGCTGGATGTGCACAGCCTCCCGCCAGCATCAGCGCTACTTGATGGCAGCACAGTCTGTAGAAACTCTGCAGAAAAGCAAAAGGATCCAAGCAAGGCACCAAGAAGGTCCTCTCCTGCGAGCTCGAGGAATGATGTGGGACGGGAC